CAGACTTCTTCCATACTGTACACACATCAGACTTCCTCCATACTGTACACACACCAGACTTCTTCCATACTGTACACACACCAGACTTCTTCCATGCTGTACACACACCAGACTTCTTCCATACTGTACACACACCAGACTTCTTCCATACTGTACACACACCAGACTTCTTCCATACTGTACACACATCAGACTTCTTCCATACTGTACACACACCAGACTTCTTCCATACTGTACACACACCAGACTTCTTCCATACTGTACACACACCAGACTTCCTCCATGCTGTACTCACACCAGACTTCTTCCATACTGTACACACACCAGACTTCTTCCATACTGTACACACGCCAGACTTCTTCAATGCTGTACACACACCAGACTTCTTCCATACTGTACTCACACCAGACTTCTTCCATGCTGTACACACACCAGACTTCTTCCATACTGTACTCACACCAGACTTCTTCCATGCTGTACACACACCAGACTTCCTCCATGCTGTACACACACCAGACTTCTTCCATACTGTACTCACACCAGACTTCTTCCATGCTGTACACACACCAGACTTCTTCCATACTGTACTCACACCAGACTTCTTCCATGCTGTACACACACCAGACTTCTTCCATACTGTACACACACCAGACTCCCTCCATGCTGTACTCACACCAGACTTCTTCCATACTGTACACACACCAGACTCCCTCCCTGCTGTACACACAACAGACTCCCTCGATGCTGTACACACACCAGACTTCCTCCATGCTGTACACACACCAAACTCCCTCCATGCTGTACACACATCAGACTCCCTCAATGCTGTACACACACCAGACTTCTTGCATGCTGTACTTACACCAGACTCCCTCCATGCTGTACACACACCAGAATCCCTCCATGCTGTACTCACACCAGACTCCCTCCATGCTGTACTCACACCAGACTTCCTCCATGCTGTACACACACCAGAATCCCTCCATGCTGTACTCACACCAGAATCCCTCCATGCTGTACTCACACCAGACTCCCTCCATGCTGTACTCACACCAGACTTCCTCCGTGCTGTACACACAACAGAATCCCTCCATGCTGTACTCACACCAGACTTCCTCCATGCTGTACACACACCAGACTCCCTCCATGCTGTACTCACACCAGACTCCCACCATGCTGTACACACACCAGACTCCCTCCATGCTGTACACACACCAGACTTCTTCCATGCTGTACACACACCAGACTTCCTCCATGCTGTACACACACCAGACTCCCACCATGCTGTACACACACCAGACTCCCTCCATGCTGTACACACACCAGACTTCTTCCATGCTGTACACACACCAGACTTCCTCCATGCTGTACACACATCAGACTCCCTCCGTGTTGTACACACACCAGACTCCCACCATGCTGTACACACACCAGACTCCCTCCGTGCTGTACACACACCAGACTTCCTCCATGCTGTACACACACCAGACTTCCTCCATGCTGTACACACACCAGACTTCCTCCATGCTCTTCACACAACAGACTCCCTCCCTGCTGTACACACAACAGACTCCCTCGATGCTGTACACAGACCAGATTCCCTCCATGCTGTACATATACCAGACTTCTTCCATACTGTACACACATCAGACTTCCTCCATGCTGTACTCACACCAGACTTCCTCCATGCTGTACACACACCAGACTTCCTCCATGCTGTACACACACCAGACTCCCACCATGCTGTACACACACCAGACTCCCTCCATGCTGTACTCACACCAGACTCCCACCATGCTGTACACACACCAGACTCCCTCCATGCTGTACACACACCAGACTTCTTCCATGCTGTACACACACCAGACTTCCTCCATGCTGTACACACACCAGACTCCCACCATGCTGTACACACACCAGACTCCCTCCATGCTGTACACACACCAGACTTCTTCCATGCTGTACACACACCAGACTTCCTCCATGCTGTACACACATCAGACTCCCTCCGTGTTGTACAGACACCAGACTCCCTCCGTGCTGTACACACACCAGACTTCCTCCATGCTGTACACACACCAGACTTCCTCCATGCTGTACACACACCAGACTTCCTCCATGCTCTTCACACAACAGACTCCCTCCCTGCTGTACACACAACAGACTCCCTCGATGCTGTACACAGACCAGATTCCCTCCATGCTGTACACATACCAGACTTCTTCCATACTGTACACACATCAGACTTCCTCCATGCTGTACTGACACCAGACTTCCTCCATGCTGTACACACACCAGACTTCCTCCATGCTGTACACACACCAGACTCCCACCATGCTGTACACACACCAGACTCCCTCCATGCTGTACACACATCAGACTCCCTCCGTGTTGTACACACACCAGACTCCCTCCGTGCTGTACACACAGCAGACTTCCTCCATGCTCTTCACACAACAGACTCCCTCCATGCTGTACACACACCAGACTCCCTCCATGCTGTACACACAGCAGACTCCCTCCCTGCTGTACACACAACAGACTCCCTCGATGCTGTACACACACCAGACTTCCTCCATGCTGTACACACACCAAACTCCCTCCATGCTGTACACACATCAGACTCCCTCAATGCTGTACACACACCAGACTTCTTCCATGCTGTACTTACACCAGACTCCCTCCATGCTGTACACACACCAGAATCCCTCCATGCTGTACTCACACCAGACTCCCTCCATGCTGTACTCACACCAGACTTCCTCCATGCTGTACACACACCAGAATCCCTCCATGCTGTACTCACACCAGACTCCCTCCATGCTGTACTCACACCAGACTTCCTCCATGCTGTACACACATCAGACTCCCTCCATGCTGTACTCACACCAGACTCCCTCCATGCTGCACACACATCAGACTCCCTCCATGCTGTACTCACACCAGACTTCCTCCATGCTGTACACACAGCAGACTTCCTCCATGCTCTTCACACAACAGACTCCCTCCATGCTGTACACACACCAGACTCCCTCCATGCTGTACACACAGCAGACTCCCTCCCTGCTGTACACACAACAGACTCCCTCGATGCTGTACACACACCAGACTTCCTCCATGCTGTACACACACCAAACTCCCTCCATGCTGTACACACATCAGACTCCCTCAATGCTGTACACACACCAGACTTCTTCCATGCTGTACTTACACCAGACTCCCTCCATGCTGTACACACACCAGAATCCCTCCATGCTGTACTCACACCAGACTCCCTCCATGCTGTACTCACACCAGACTTCCTCCATGCTGTACACACACCAGAATCCCTCCATGCTGTACTCACACCAGACTCCCTCCATGCTGTACTCACACCAGACTTCCTCCATGCTGTACACACATCAGACTCCCTCCATGCTGTACTCACACCAGACTCCCTCCATGCTGCACACACATCAGACTCCCTCCATGCTGTACTCACACCAGACTTCCTCCATGCTGTACTCACACCAGACTTCCTCCATGCTGTACACACACCAGACTTCCTCCATGCTGTACACACACCAGAATCCCTCCATGCTGTACTCACAACAGACTCCCTCCATGCTGTACACACATCAGACTCCCTCCATGCTGTACTCACACCAGACTCCCTCCATGCTGTACACACACCAGACTTCCTCCATGCTGTACACACACCAGACTTCCTCCACGCTGTACTCACAACAGACTCCCTCCATGCTGTACTCACACCAGACTTCCTCCATGCTGTACTCACACCAGACTTCCTCCATGCTGTACACACATCAGACTCCCTCCATGCTGTACACACACCAGACTTCCTCCATGCTGTACACACATCAGACTCCCTCCATGCTGTACACACACCAGACTTCCTCCATGCTGTACACACATCAGACTCCCTCCATGCTGTACTCACACCAGACTTCCTCCATGCTGTACTCACACCAGACTTCCTCCATGCTGTACACACACCAGACTTCCTCCATGCTGTACTCACACCAGACTTCCTCCATGCTGTACACACACCAGACTTCCTCCATGCTGTACTCACACCAGACTTCCTCCATGCTGTACACACACCAGACTCCCACCATGCTGTACACACACCAGACTTCCTCCATGCTGTACATACACAAGACTCCCTCCATGCTGTACACATACCAGACTTCCTCCATGCTGTACACACACCAGACTCCCTCCATGCTGTACACACAACAGACTCCCTCCATGCTGTACACACACCAGACTTCCTCCATGCTGTACACACATCAGACTTCCTCCATGCTGTACACATACCAGACTTCCTCCATGCTGTACTCACACCAGACTTCCTCCATGCTGTACACACACCAAACTCCCTCCATGCTGTACTCACACCAGACTTCCTCCATGCTGTACTCACAACAGACTCCCTCCATGCTGTACACACATCAGACTCCCTCCATGCTGTACTCACACCAGACTTCCTCCATGCTGTACTCACACCAGACTTCCTCCATGCTGTACACACAAGCCAGACTTCCTCCATGCTGTACTCACACCAGACTTCCTCCATGCTGTACTCACACCAGACTTCCTCCATGCTGTACACACACCAAACTCCCTCCATGCTGTACTCACACCAGACTTCCTCCATGCTGTACACACACCAGACTTCCTCCATGCTGTACACACACCAAACTCCCTCCATGCTGTACTCACACCAGACTTCCTCCATGCTGTACACACACCAGACTCCCTCCGTGCTGTACACACACCACTCTACCCACATCCTTCTCTCGTATGCACGGAGATACCATGCTATACTTAAGGACGTTTTGTCTGTTGAATTGAGATGTTGTCAACTGAAAAGCTTTTTTGCACTTCCGCATCCTTTGTGCTTTTTTTTCGCTTGAGGTGTATGCAGTGTGCTACAGCGGCTTCTAGTTGAGTTAAGCAACCTCAAATGCTTACAGCCTTACTTCTTTGTGTTGCAGATCGCGACTTGGGTGTCAAGTACTTGTCTCAAAGGACATGGATGGACTAGAAGTGGAGGTGCCAACAGAGGTGTCAGATGCAAGAGGTCCATCCTAGGCGTGACCGTGTTTCCCACCGCCCATCGGCTGGTAATAGGATGCAGTTGGAAGATCGCAATACATAATTTTAAGTGTTATCAAATCTCATTCAAAATCTGAAGTAATATTTATCTTGATGTGAGTATTCAGTGATGAGTGATTCACTGAATCAGTAACAATTTGTGTTTATTAGCATGATGAAAACAGATGGTATAGGTAGTGTTTGCCTGCTGTGTGGGAGAATACAAGGACAGCCACTGGTCTTCATGCTGCCACTATCGGTAGATCAATATTCTCAATCTCATGTATGGCTCAAACAGAGTTTGTTAACTGTCATCCTTGGTTAGTTTCTTACTTGGACCTGCTGGCTACAGGGATCACAGAGAATGTTTGTGATGGAACACACTCAATCAGAGTGTATCATTAAACACTTGACAGGATTTACGGTGTTCTCTTTTCTGTTTGCAGGCATTTCCTGAAAAGAAATGCATTAGCTCTGCATTAGTATTTCTTCACACAAAGGCCCCTTATGTTAATGCCAGTTATTGATCTTGTATCAAGGAAAAGGATCTCTGATTGTTATAGTGGCAGTGTACAGAATGGGAGCCAGAAGACGCATCAAGTATGGTGACATCTCAATAATTTTTAGTGACCAAATTCATCCAATAGGGTAAGAATGTCATATGGAGATTTGACGAACACAGTAAGTCAATATCGAGAACTTCCACCGAGCACATGGATCACAGCTTGAAGTCTTCGTCTCATACTCATCACCAGACGTTGGAATCGCTCCATGGGCAGCTGCTGCCACTCCTCGTGTAATGCTGCTTCCAATTCACGCAAGTTCTGTGGAGGAGGGTCCCGACGATAAATCAGGCGTCCCAAAATGTCCCATACATGTTCCAGAGGATTCAGATCTGGACTCATTGCTGGCCATGGAATCTGCGTCAGAGCATTGTTGTGGATAACCTGGGTCACAGCTCGTGAACGATGTGGTCTGGCATTGTCATCCATGAATATCGGTCTGGTGGCCAGTGGATGATTGTCAAAATGGGGCACCACAACTGGATTCAGCACCTCTTGGATGTAGCGCTCCCCTGTCAAGTTGCCTCGTATGGTCACTAAATCAAGCTTACAATCAAATGAGAAGCATCCCCAGACCATAACAGATCCACCTCCATATGGTACAGTTGGCATGATGTTTCTTGCAATATAAGCTGTTCCAGGACGCCTCCATACTCTCACTCTGCCATCCACAACATGCAGAAGGAACCTGCTTTCGTCTGACCAGTGGACTCTTCTCCAGGACCTCAAGTTCCAGTTCTGTCTCAGTCTACACCAGGCTAGACGTAGTCGTTTGTGGTTGTCTGTGAGTTTAGGTCGCTTGATAACCCTTCTGGACTTCAACCCTGCAGCTTTAAGACGATTTCTCACGGTCTGGGTACTGAACTGTTGACGAGGAAGCCAAAGACGTTTCAAGGTTGTGCTTGTAGCAAATGGATGACGCCTTACCACTCTCAACAACGCTCTGTCATCTCTAACTGTGGTCTTACGTGGTCTGCCAGAGGGTCTGCGATTCCTTACATCATTAGTTTGTGCGTGTTTTCTGACCAAACGGCTTATTGTTGAGTAGTGATGTCCGGTTCTTCTGCCAATCTCCTTGAACGAAAGACCTGCTCCATGAAGGCCAATAATCTGCCACTTGACTGCTTCTGACAATCGTCTACCCGACTTTGTGGGTTACAATAAACTGGGCTGTCAGAGAACATCTTTTATAGGCGATGTTGAGCTTAAGAAGATACTGCAATCTGCAAATGTCATGCACCATGCAATTCACGTGCTGATTGCTACGTTTTGGTGATCATCTTCCCTCCGAAAACATTACACATTTAACATCAGATCCCCAAGGAATACCTACCATTAAAACCAGAGTCGGGCGTTTTAAATGTTGTGATGTATCAAACGTATTAATGTGGGGGTGCAACACTTTTTTTACTGTGTATATTAGTAGGATTGCTAGATGCAGAGGACTGAGTTGTGCTTCATTAGACAACATTAGGGATTGAACATGAATATAAGATAGATATTGGTAATATTAGTAAAGTTAAAATAGTCCATGGTCAATGTTACTGGTGGAAAAGGATTTTAGGTACTGGAATACACAGAAGATGTTGGATTGCTTCGGTTTTTGCATGCATTGCTCACACCCTCCAAGTTAATAAAAGGTGTTATTTACCAAGATTGCCTTTGAGTTGATATTGAAGTATTTGATAAACTTCAGGATCTAAATGTCATGCAACTATTTCACAGAAAAGAAAAGGAAGTTACATCCTGCAATTAAGAAGCTATAAAAGTCAACAATTGGTCATGTTTCTTTAAACTACAAAATTGTCTGTTGCATGTTCCAGTGGAGATCACTCACTTGAACTAGACACTCAGTATCTGGAGACATAGTGTAGCATACACAGGCTGCCCTAATTACAAGGAGGCAGTTAGTGTTATGAGTCATTTCAGAAAAGGATTGCTTACTCCGAAGTTGCACGCCCAGTAAAATCAGATTTAACTGTGACTGCTGTTAAGGTTACGTTATTATTATACGTAATGCCATCAAGTTGACTTCAGTGAAATCTGCAATTGTGAATGTTTCTCCATGCAAGAATATTGCTAACAGTAGCATAAAACCATACTCACTCACCCTCACTGACTGACTGACTCTTCCATGCTCAGGCTGTTCCATTGTCTGTGCAGACTTGTTCCTGTGTTTGCCTCCTTCATGGCTAAAAACACTGCCTCAATCAGAATAAGCCACTTGAGGTATGAAAAATTCAGAGAAACTCATCTGAACCTTCAATATTTGATATTTTTCCCCAGTCGTTTATGGCATTCCTGTTTAAAGTGATAATGGGTGTTTTAAGACAACAACCAAAATGATCAGCTATTCACTGTCAAAGATTTGCTAAGTTTTCTCTAAACTGAACAGGAATAATGTTTAGGGTGCAAGTAACAAGAAGTAATACCATGAGGTGTGAACAGGGAAGCTATGGTAAAAGATCTGATTTTAATGAGAGTGAGTGAGTATGATTTTATGCAGATTTTAGCAATATTCCAGCAATATTAAGACGGGGACACCAGAAATGCGCTTCACACATTGTACCCATGTCAGGAATTGAACCCGGGTCGTCGGCATGACGAGCGAACGCTTTAACCACTAGGCTACCCGACCACCCCTTGATTTTAATGAAATTGATTACGGTATGTCAGGGTTTTACCTTGACTTACAATAGTAGAGGTCCAGGCGACCCCACCCACTATAGTAATCACCTTGTCTGTTCACCTGTAATCATTTTTTGTCGAGAAACTGCACACAAAGACCAAGTTATCAACTGGTGCCTTTTGCTTTATATACATGTATAGGGCTTTGTATAAAAAAAAAAATTCTGTTTCCGTAGCAAGAAGTTTGAGTTTGACTTTGACTCTGTTGACTCACTTGATAGTGATGTGTTTGTCCAGACCAAAAAACTCTAAAACTAATAGGTATTCTTTCATGAAACTTTGCACACACAAAAAACAGGTTGTCAACTGGCGCCTTTGCTATTTAGAGATTGCTATTTTTCATTTTTCCTGTTGCCATGTCAACAAGCTTGACTTGGACTCTGTTCATGTTAGTGTGCAGATATTTTTGACAGAAATACAAAGTTCCTAATCCCTATTCCATAGTATTGTTTTGAAAGATCATTAACTATTCTTCTATATGGACAGATAGACTAGATAGAAATACTCTCATCAACTTGTACAAATCACTTTTGTAGGACTTACTGTAACAGTCAGATGATTTGTTTGTTCGAATTTGTGAGGGGATTGTCATCTTCTGACTCTTTTGTACAGATTCTATTCAAAATTGTTTCAATATAATCAACTTGCCGTGTTTACAATTGAAAGTGTCATATTCTAAAAACATTGAGATCACACTTGCCAAAGTGACATTGAAAAATGTTTTGGAATTCAAAGTTTCAGGTATGTAGTTTTATGACAAATTAACATGGTCCAGACACATAAGCCTATACAGCTGATAAAGGCAACAAAGTTATTAATCTTCTGAAATATAAACTGACAAATCTGTCTGCTATAGGCATAAATAATGACTGGTACACCCTTTGGGATGGACATATATATGTTAGCAGTACTTTACAATATCATTTCCCCGTGGGGACCTGGGGAGGGTAAACAAGAATGTGTCCTCAGCACCCCATTGCTGGTCGTAAAAGGCGACCAAAGTGGGCAACCCGTTTGCTGTGGGTTGCGTCCCTGTGTCGGTGGAGGACGGGAGTCTGGTGGTTGAGGGCACCGGTTCCAAGAATAGCGTTCCTTTGCCCAATACACCACTTCGACCCTTACTTCACCTAGACGGGTGGCAGGATGGGCCCTGTCCTATAAATCGGCTGGTCATGCCGAGCCCTGTGCATTATCTTTATCAGCACAGATTTGACCCAATTTAGTTTTCATTTGGCAAATTTTACATCTGCTTAAATTGTATTCAAACCAAATATGTATGTTTATATGTTGAATTATTTGCAATTTTGCCTAGAGTCTTAAAGCCAAGAAGGCGGTGGCTCATGGGCCAATCTGGTGTTACATTATTTCTAATGTTTCTGCTTGAGTATACCCTCTTGGTATCCTTGGTGCCGCCTGTTGGAGGCCCACAGCCATTTGGCATCGTCCTTGTTGACGCTCCATGGTGGGTGGGGAACCAGGAGGGTGAAACACAACTATATTACCATGGCTACTCAAAACCCCCAAAACAAAAACGTTATCATACAGATGACACTGATGATGATGAAGATAACCAGACTCTGTTACTCTGAACGCGACACCTGGCCTCGATTCATCGTTGCTGAATCTGGTGAAAAACAGTTAACTTCTTGTTCCCCCTTTTTAATAGAAAAAGCAATTCAGGGTATTGCTGGAACTGTGAAGAATGTGACCAAAACTAGATCTAGTGCTATTCTTATAGAATGTGCTACAAGAGGTCAGGCAGCTAATCTGCTGGAAGCCAAACTTTTTGCAAATATACCAAGAACTTGTTATCCACACAAGTCCCAAAGGCATTATCCGAGACAGAGATAAGAGTCTTGCTCATCTACCTACTGATGACATTGTAGTGAGTGAGTATGGTTTTACGCTGCTTTTAGCAATATTACAGCAATACCACGGCGGGGGACACCGGAAATGGGCTTCACATATTGTACCCATGTCGGGAATCGAACCCGGGTCTTCGGCGTGACGAGTAAACGCTTCAACCACTAGGCTACCTGACCGCCCGATGACATTGTAAGTCAGTTATGTATGCAAGGTGTAGTTGAGGCAAAGCGTTTCACCTTTAAGAAGGATGGAATCTTTTCACCATCCAATACCTACCTGCTTACATTTGATGTTCCGAAGC